TACCAACTTTGGGGATCAACACCAAAAAATTCAGGAAGGTTGATGTTCTCCGCTGCCCATGGAAAATCCTCAATCACCGGTGAGGGAGTGACCAGAGAAGTATCACCGACGGAATCTGAAACTTCAGAAGATGAACTCTGGTAATTTAGTGTGATATTCTTCTCCACTGAAGACAAAACCCATCAATGCAACTGGAATGACACTGGAAAGAGGAGGAGACTGGAGATCGCTAACCATGCCAGATGAATCCAAGGAAGCATCATCAACCACCGACTCTGGTAGTAGTTACTTATATCAATCCTTAGTTGGTGACACTCTCTTATTCCTTGCAGAGAGCCAGAGATACTCTCTTTTGAGTTTCTATTATTTCAAAAAAAAAGCACCGAGGAGGTGAAATTCATTACAGGTACTCATCGCATCTGTTCTCTCGATATCTGTCCTGTTGAATGATATTGTTTAATTTTGTTATTAATGTCTGCAAATAATCAATCAATTTTTAGGGTTTTAGTTCGATCTCTAGCTTGATTTTTTAATTTTTATTTTTGTTATGAATGCAGATGTCACTAGGTGGTAGCTCCAACCCCTGCAAAGCAATGATTTTGTTATGAATGCTGATGCACAAAAAGGCTTGTGCTGGTAGAACTTTCTTTACACAGATCTGACTCCAGTTTTTGAGGTTAGTTTTTGTTCTTCTCTTTTATGCCCCTTATGAGAATGAGTTTTTTCATGTTAGAGGTTATGTTTTTTAGGGTTTGATAGAGATTTGTCTTAATTCTGGTTTTCTGATCCTTTGAATACAAAATCATTCTGGTTTATGTATAATTTATTCAACTCTTGATCTGATCAACTCAAAAAGCATTGTTTTGATACCCATCTGCACCAAAAAAGTGTCGTTTTATCATGTTTTATTAATGTTACAAATGGTATATTTTCCAAAATAGCATTGTATTTTCAATTGTTTTATAAAAAATCTATCAAGGTAAAACAGGACAGTCGCTTTGTATTTCACTATTTTGATGAGGTAGCTATAATTGGGTTAAACAAAAATGTTACATGCGGTATAATAAATAAATATTTTGTTATTACTGAAAGACATTTACTGATGGAGATTTTGGGCTAATGTATTTCTTTGTTTCATGTATTGTGCAGTCATCCCTGGAGCACTCCAGTAATATATCCTACAGTGCAGTAGGTTTTGTATGCCAAAACTATTAAGGATTGTTTAGACGGCTACATGGAATGCACTTAAGTGCAAAAGATAAAGAAGAGATGATGTCAATGATCTATAACCGGTCAAATTAGTCAGGTATTTTTCAATTGAAAAAAATCTATCCATATATAGCATTGTTATTCAAACGTAAAGCAATTTTCGATGCTATAATGGGGACATTTTTCGAAATATAATATCCCAGTAAAAAAGAATTTTAAAGTACAATGCTATAATTAGTGCTATGATTGGGTAGATTTTCCAAAGTACAATGACTTAAGAAGTAAAAAACTGATAGTGTAATGTTGTAATAGCATCACACTTTCATTTCTTCGTACTACAACATTGTGATTTGAAAAGTCACCCCAGTTATAGCAAAGTGCGGAGTGCGGGCTGAAGATTAAGGACAAAAAAGTAAATCAATTAAAGAATTTATTCAAAAGTGAAATGTTGGTAATTTTTTGGACAAATCAACATGGAAAATGTTGCATTTTAGGAGAAAGAGTCTTTAAGGACAAAAAAGCAAATCACTTAAAGAATTTATTCAAAAGTGAAATGTTGGTAATAACTTGGACAAATCAACACAGAAAATGTTGCATTTTAGGAGAAAGAGGGAGATCTTTTTGTTTAAGGGTAAATGTGTCAAAATGGATGCTTTTTTTATTGGATCTAAATCATTAAATCATAAGATTGTAGGTTTGGTACTTTTTTTTTTTGCTTTTTATTGCAACCTACTTTATGATTTTGACTTTTTATAGCATTGTACATTCTGCGTTTCACATTTTTATGCAGCTTACTTTATATTTTATGTTGCTTTCGACCATTATGGTTAACCGCTAAAGCTAAACTATACTAACCGCTACCCATTGACTACTATTGTAATGGTTATTGTTCGGTACCATAATAACCGCACAATACACACCCTCACTATAAAATATATGGAAATAAGACCGTGCTTTCTTTAGTTTTTATTTTCACCGTCAAGATTGGCGAGTAGATTGGTTTCACCATTGAAGAGTAGGAAATTATCGGTACACAAGAGCATGGATAGTATCATAGCAGTGAGATGATGATGACTGAATTGAGAAAAAACATAATGATTTTATATTATAAGAATCAGGAAACCAGAATTCAAACAAACGTAAAATGTACCATGAGAAAAACAATATTATTAATCTTTTACATCTCATTTGAAATACAATATATAAAGTATCATAAGAAAAAGGATTTTCTGTGTTTGGTAAGTTACCAAAGTCAAGAAATATTATTGTTAGCTATTAACACTACTTGAGGTATGTCATATTGAAGATTGCATAATCAGTTACGAAAATATCTCCATGGCAAAAATACAAAATGATATAAATTTTGTTTGTTATGTCTTTTATTTTTAATATTATAACAAGATTCTGGATCACAAAAATTACAATACTTTTTTGATGCGAAGTATCAAAAGAAAGGAGAAAAAGAATTTCCCTTTATGTTAAACAAGATAGTACTATTTCATGGTGTTAAACAAATTTTGGTACAATTATATAAGCTTATCATAATGATATAATATTTATCCTTTTGTGTAAAAGTTACTTTTTAACACATTATGCATTTAAGATGGACACACATGTGGAGGGTATTTGTACAAGACCAAAAATGACCCTATCTACTTCCACTAAATACTAATTGTAGATCTGGTGGATTATGATTATTACATAGTATTCAAGTTTGATACTTATTTTATTAAGGTCTTTATAATTTTTTAATAAATTTAATCATATTGGTTTCACCATTGAAGAGTAGGAAAGTGAGTTGGTTATTTACATATAATGTTTAATATATAATATTTATATATTAATAAATATTTTTTAATGGATTATTAATTTCTTCTAATTAATTCTTTTTTTATTTTTTTATTGGATTAGTTCTTTTTTATTGGATGATTATGTATTAATAAATATTACTTTATTATATTATTAGTTTCTGATTTCTGATAGTCAATTATTTTTAATTTCATTTTTATTGGATTAAATTATTGTTTATTGGATTATAATATTCTAATAAATATCATCTTAAATATAGAATATTTATATATTAAAATATATTATTTTATTGCATTACTAATTTTTTAATTATTTTGTTTTAATTGTTTTTATCTGTTTTCTTTATTATTTTAAATAAAAAAACCCAAAAAATCTCACCCGCCTCACATCTCCTAATTTATTTTATATTCATATATGTTCAATTGTTTTTTGTTACATTATTATATTATATGTTCGTTTATGTTCATATATGTTCAATTGTGTTTCTTTATCTTTGTTCGCTTATGTTCTTTTGTAATGATTGCAATATGCTTTGCATAAGTGATTTTTGTACAAAATATGGAAACCTGTCAACCATTTTAACTACTAAGAGGGTGTTTGTATGCCCATTTTCTGAGTGAGTATTGTGAAAATCTTATTATTTTTACTTAGTTTTTTTTACATATTTTTCAGTAATCAGTTTCATACAACTATATATTATATGGGTATGGAAATCTTATTATTTTTGTAGCCTTAATGATACAAAATTTAAGATCAAAATCTGATTTCTAAAACATTTAAACTTTGATTGTTCCGACTTCATATCGCCATAATCACTTTAGATATACATCTGAACACCCACTAAGGAACACAAAAACAAATCAACGTGGAAAGTGTTGCATTTTTGGAGACAGAGAGAGATATTTTGGTTTGAGGGTTAAATGTGTCAAAATGGATGCTTCCTTATTGGATCTAAATCATTACATCATAAGATTGTAGGTGTGCTACTTTCTATTTTTTTTCTTTTTATAGCAACATACTTACTGATTTTACTTTTTATAGCATTGTACTTTCAATATTGGCGTGTAGGAAATCGTTTGTACACAACCCCCCCCCCCCCCAAACACCCACCCACCCACCCACCTAAGGGTGGCAATCGTGTCATGTCGAAACACTAAACGGGTTGAAAGTGCTTGACCCTAACCCGACCCATTTAATTAACGTGTCGTGTCGTGTCAACCCGTTTATTTTCGTATCGGGTTTCGGGTTAGGGCTATACCTTGAAATATGTCGTGTCATGTGAGGTTAAAAGATTGACCATGTTGAAAGAGTAGGAGTTGGGTAGGCGGAAAGGAAAAACTAATGGTTTGGATGTAGAATAGATGAAGTCATAGCAAGTTCAGATGACAAAATTAAAAGAGTGGGAGTTGGGGAGGCGGATGACAAGGTCGTGAGGATGTGAGAGTGGTGAAAGAGACTGGGTAGTTCGGGAGAGAATGGAAAAACTAAAATTAAGTCTTGATCTAGACGGCTAAGTCATTTCAACATTACAAAACGACTCAATTTGAAGGTTTTCTTTTACTTATGGTTTTGGTTTTGTATCTTTCTAGTTTATTTAATAAATTCAAAAAACTTGCATATAAATAAACGGGTCATTTTCGAGTCATATTCGAGTTGAAATTCTCAACCCTAACCTTACTCGTTTAATTTTCGTGTCGTGTCGTGTCAACCCGTTTATTTAAACGAGTTGAAATATCTTACCTAAACCCGTTTATTTCGTGTCGAGTTTCGTGTCGTGCCAATTTTTGCCATCTCTACACCCACCCACCCACAAACACACACGCCCACCCACCCACCAACCCACACACTAACCCCCCCCCCCCCCCCCCCCCCCCCCCCCCCCCCCCCCCCCCACACAACACACAATACCCACCCACAAACACACACCCATCCCTACCCCCCACCAAACACACACGCTCATCCACCCCCATACCCACACACACCCCCACCCCCACCCCAACCCCATACCCATACACACGCTCCCCATCTTTCGACGCACACACACAAACCAGCAGCACTATTTTGACCACTGCCACAGACGCACCACCGATGCTCTTCTACCTTCGTATCTCTCTTACCGCCACCACTGCTCTTCCTCTCCGCCAACAGCACCGTCGTTGTGATTCCAAGCCGAAGGTAGCATACTATCATTGCTTTCTCTTTTTTTTTTTTTTCATTTTTCCTAATCAAAACTAAACCCTAACTTGAATCTTAGAAAAATACAGTTCTCGATCGCAAACAACATTCAACCCCAACTTCCACCATCACCATCATCATGTTTCTTAGGTGAGTACCTAACTCTATCCTTCAAACTCTTGATTTTGGTCTTATATCGTTAATTTTGACTTTCTTTTTTCTTTTTGCACTTTCAACATTTGGAATCAGATCACCCTTCCTGGAACCTAATAGAATTCTTATCAATTTAGGGCTGTTTGGATTTGCTTTTAAAGTTATTTCTGGTGATTCATAGCAATCAACTTAGGGTAATTGGTTTAAGCGTCTTATGTTTAATTTTGATTCAAACATTATTTATAATTATAATTAGTTACTTTCTTTTTTCTTTTTGCAGTTTCAACATTTGAAATTGGATGCCCTGCATTGAGACCACCACTCCTCACTAATCCATTTGTAAATAGTTTCTTCTTCTCTACATGTTTTGCTATCTATATGTAAAACTATAACATCTAATTTTTTGCATGTGTATAACGTATAAGAATAAATTGTTTTAATAATCTATTTCTACATTGCTATATATTTTTCGGATATGGTATGTAGTGTGTTTTATTTAGAAAAGGCGGCGATAATATTTTGATTTTAGGGTTAAAAGGAGTAAAAGTGTAAATTGGTTTTCATAAGCAATAAAGATTTCAAATAAGTAGGAAGTGATAAACTTATGGAAAGCTACTTATTTAAAGCAAATAAGCACTTATTTTATTCTATCCAAACACTAAAATAATATTTATTATAAGTCAGAAAACACTTTGAATAAGCAGTTCTAAACACCCCCTTGATAGTAAGAAATGGAAGAAAAATGCTAAAAAAAACGGAAGTTTTCCAAGGAAACTTTCAGTGCTATAATTGGTTGGATGTTTGAAGGTACGATGTCCTAATAAGCAAAATGTTAAGTGCACAATGCTTAACTTTCAAATACAATGTTCTAAATTAGGTAGATTTTTCAAAATACATTTGAATTGGATGGTTTTACAGGGAAACTTCAAAAGAGTAACATCGTTGTTTTATTGAAATGGTAACCAAAGTTGTGAGATAGGGACCGAAACTGTTTCTATAATATGGTTTTCAAAAGTTTAGTTGTTTTTATTAGACCAGGGACGAAAAGTGTGTAAGAAATAGCATTGTACTTTCACTGGTATGTTTATTATAACATTTTACTTTCATTTCATCCTATTACAACAATGTATTTAATTTTTTTAACAAAAAATAAAAGCTGAATGCTGCCTGCTTTTATAATATGGTTTTCAAAAACCCGTGTTCCTCTCAAGTCTCAACAGTCAACACTCCTTCCTTTCAGACTCGACTCTCATTTGGGGTTCTATTATTTCAAAAAAGCAGAACCCAAGTCCAGGCCAACAATCGCACCACAAACTCTTCCAGCCAACTGCATCAGCTCTTTTTCATTTGCATTTTTCAGTTTGTGCACCTTAAAAGCTTAGACCTGTGAAATCTGTTACAGGTACTCATCCATCTCTATGTTTCTTTTGATTTTTTGTTGTTTGATTTTGTAATGAATGTTTGCAAATAATCAATCAATTTCCAGGGTAATAGTTTGACCTTTAGCTTCTTTTTATTTTTGTGTTATGAATGTTGGTGCCCAAATAGTTCTCTCGGTAGCATCTCCAATACCTTTCAAATCAATGATTTTGTTATGAATGCTGATGCCCAAAAAAGCTTGTGCTGGTAACTCCAGTTTTTTAGGTTAGTTTTCTATTTTAATTAATTTTGTTCTCTTTTTCCCCTTATAGAAATAAGTTTATTCATGTTAGAGGTTTCTTAGGAAAAATGGATTTTACATGGATTATTATCTAATGTTTTGTAATAATCTAACTAGTATTACACCAAGACGAATGGGCACATGCAAGAAAGGCTTGAGGAAGATATGTGTGGCCATCAAAAGGATGCTACACATCACACCAAAAGCATTGCCTTCTCCCACAGATGACACTGCAGAGGGACTCTGAATAGGTATTTACGCAAACATAAATTTATTTTCAATCTTACAATCAAATGCTAGTAACTAGAGGCTTTTGCTTTGTATCGGGAGGATCGACACACGATGTATACAAAACTATAGTTCGTGAGATACAGGCATGACATGCTGTTTAGTTCTTTTGGGATTTGTTTGTAATGTAGGATAGACAGACAAACGACCTTTTATTGGACTGGCCCGATGTCAACGGGACAAAAATCTCACCCAAAAAGTGGGACAAAATGCTAGACTCTCACTTCCAACCGGAAATAGAAATAATCCACGGAGAATTGAAAATAATCAAGGCAAATCACTTGTTGTAATTCAGAAATTTCAAAGGATAAACAAGTTAAACAAGATAAGACAGTAATCCTAGCATGTTCATGTTTGAGAGGCTAAACTCTCCATAAGTGTTGAACATAATTGTCTATGATGATTTTATACTCCTCTATTGCTCACTATATAACTTTCACAAAGCAAAAGACAACAAGTAAGAAATTGTCCCCACACTACTCTACTCCTGTGGTGTTCCTTTCTCGTCCTGTTTTCCCATTTTACCCCTTCTCCTAGAGTACGTGTAGTGTATTGGGGTGTAGCAATACCTCGCCCCCTGTAGATTCACCGGAGGGAAAAGTATAAATCATTGTCTCGATATCCTCTCATGTGGCTTTGGTTATTGGTAGTCCTTTCCAGCGAATGAGGGCTTCAGTCATATTTTGTCACCGCCTTTCACATGCCCAACCAATACCACTTACTTGCCAACCGTTGGTTTGGTATAGCTTTAGTTCCGCCGCCAAATCATGATATTCTTGAAGTAGCTTAGGAATGTAAGTCGAAGAGTCGTGAATCACCGGTCAGTCAGTCGACCCTTATAGAGTAATCTCCCTTATTCTATGTAAAAAAACCTTTTGGTGGGTTTTCATTATTTTCCGGTTGTTCCAATATTTTCAAGATAAATAGGTTGGACCTAATTTCTTGGTGTACGGATTCCAAAATAGAAGAAGAATTTGAAGTCCCCGCTTTGTAGTGTATTTCCAAGTCAAACTCCATGATCTTACACAACCATTTTTGGTACTCACGTTGCTCGAGAAGATACTTTAAACTTCTTTGATGGGTTCTAATTACAAAGTGCCTCCGCAATAAATAATGCTTCCACTTTTGAATCGCCATCAATTCCTTTTTGTAGATGTGTTTGAACCGATTTCGTACTACCAAAACTTGGCTATAATAAGCAATCCGGTGACCATTTTGCATTTCTACCGCACCACTCAAATTAACCCTTCCTCAAAAGGTTTGTTAACGGACTGGCAATGGTATAATATCCTGTTAAGCCAAGAAATCCTCTTAGCTGTCTTATGTTTTTTGGTTCTTCCCTGATAACCATTGCTTCAATTTTGCCTTGATCCACGGATACCCCTTTGGTTGACATCACGTGCCCTAAATAAGCCAATGATGACTGCCCAAAAGTGCACTTATCAAGGTTCTCATATAACTGGTGATCCCTTAATGCCTTTAGAACACAATTCATGTGCTCTCCATGCTCATCGGTTCAGCTATAGATGAGTATGTCATCAAAAAATACCAGGACAAATTTTCTTAAGAAGGGCCGAAACACATCATTCATAAGAGACTGAAAAATACCAAGAACTCGTAGTGCTCTTCATGGGTGCGAAACACGGTCTTTTCCACAACCCCTGAATTTAGTGATATTCCGACTTCAAGTCGAGTTTGGTGAATAGTCGTTACATGTGTAATTCATCGAGAAACTCATCAATTATGGGAATCGGGTACGGTAGCCTTGTTGAGGGCCCGGTAATCCACACAATATCTCCATGACCCATTCTTTTTCTTTACAAGTAGAACTAGGCTGGAAAATGGTTTCTATAAGCAATATAGATTTCAAATAAATTGGAAGTGATTAACTTATGGAAAGCTACTTATTTAAAGCAAATAAGCACTTATTTTATTCTATCCAAACACTAAAAGAATATTTATTATAAGTCAGAAACACTTTGAATAAGCAATCACAAACACCCCCTTGATAGTAAGAAATGGAAGAAAAATGCTAAAAAAAACGGAAGTTTTCCACGGAAACTTTCAATGTTTGAAGGTACGATGTCCTAATAAGCAAAATATTAAGTGCACAATGCTTAACTTTCAAATACAAAATATGAAACAAAAGTTTATGAGATGCAAGTATGACATACATGTTTAGTTCTTTTGGGTCATGTAACGCCCCGATTCTCAGGTATCGATTTTATATAAAAATTTCTTTGATTTCAAAGTCTACTCGACGAGTTGGTTGCCCTACTCGTCGAGTAGCAGCGGATTGGTCCACGTATTTTAGTGACCTACTCGCCGAGTCCAAGAAGGGACTCGACGAGTAGGAGCTGGCAGATGAAACCCTAAATTATGGGGTATTGCCCCATATTTAAAGGATCATTGGCCTTTCCCAGCCTCCCGTTTATAGTTCCTTGACACCCTTAAACCCTAAATCGTGTGTGTGTATTTCTTTGGAGTAATCGAGCTTGGGAAAGAGATCTTGGCGAGGAACACTTGGGGAAATCAAGCAAAGCGAAGCTAGGAACTCGTGGGAAGCAAGGATATACTTCAGTTGACACTCTCTGGAAGGTATCAAGCTGTTTCCTTGGCTCATTTCATCTTTAATCTCTTTTGGGTGGGTTTTAGGAAAGGTTTCTTGTGTTTGAGCCAAGATCTGAAGTTGTAACCTTAGATCTGGACTCCCTTTGGCCTCTAGATCCATAAAGTTATCAGCTTTGTTAAGTGTGAGCCTTCCCTTAAGTGTTAGACTTCATTGCAAGCTTAGTTTTGTCATTTTAGGGCCTTAAAACTTTGCATGCACGTAAAGTTTGCAACTTTACGTGATAAACGTGTCATTGGAGCTTAGATCTGCAATATGGAGCCTTTGCATGGCTTAAAAAGTACCTGTATGGATGAAGGACTGAAGGGACGGCGAGTTGCATAGTCGGCTCGGCGAGTCACATGAAGATGGTCCTGCACTCGACGAGTTGGATGAACAACTCGGCGAGTCCGATGAAGATTGTCGTAGATTCGGCGAGTCATTAGAGTGTCTCGACGAGTCGGTTAGAGTTCTTCCCAACCGTTGGATACGTGTGAACTTGTCGAGTTGCAAGGGGGAAAACTCGACGAGTGGCCAAGGAGCTTCGACCGCAAACCTTAGGAACTCGACGAGTCACTCTGGTGACTCGGCGAGTGGACTAGTTATACAAGGAATTTGGCGAGTGGTTGGTTGCACTCGACGAGTTCAGGTCAACATGGACTGTTGACCTTGACAATTGACTTTGACTTTGACCATGGGTTGACCCTTGGACTTTTGGGGGCATATTGGGAAGTGACAAACATGTTGTATGGCGAATATAGGTGGTGGAGTTTTTGGCAGTGATCAGGGAGTTTGAGCTTATCTTTCGAGTCGACATTTGCAAGGTGAGTTATCCTCACTATACTAAGGGGTCTAAGGCACCAAGGTCGGCCCATTGAATATGTTATCCAAGTAGTGTTATTATGTTGAGTATGGGTTAGTGATTGCATGCTAGTGGTTGTGCCAGTTAGGTAGATCTGTAGGACTACTTGAGTTGTTATATGATTATTTGCATGCACAATGGTTATGTTTATATGTTGACATGTTATGTGGGATGGGTTGAGGTGGTACTGCTCCGTGCGGTAACCAACAAACCCGGGAACATTCCAAATGCGAGCTAAGGGAGACTCGTACTGTGGGCTCGAGAGCATTCCAGTTACGAGCTGAGGGAGACTCGTACTGTGAGCTCGATAGCAAGCCAGATGTGAGTTGTGGGCCCGTAAGGCAATCCAGACTCACACTGTGGACCCAAGGGTGATCCAGTTTGTAAAGCTGTGGACCCAGTACATGCTGTTGTTTATATATGTGTTATGTGCAGTGTATCGGTATTTTGGGGGAACTCACTAAGCTTTCGGGCTTACAGTTTCAGTTTATTGTTTTAGGTACATCAAGGGATCGCGGCAAGGCGAAGGCATGATCGTACAGCTCCTCCCGTTTTGTTTATGGTTATGGGGAAAACTCTGTTTATGTTATGGGGATTTTTGAAACGTATTGTAACGTTTGTATGATTTGAAATTTTGAAATGATTTTAAAAGTTTAAATTTGGCAAAAAAATTTATGGGTGTTAGAGGTCAGATTTGGGATTTATTATGTAGGACATGTTAGAACATAACACAAGGCCTTGTATCTATTGGACTGATGTCAATTGGACCAAAAATTATAAATGTTTTATCCCATCCAAAAAGGTGGGGACAAAACTTGCTCTTCATCTCATGTTTGCAAAGGACAGAAACGTCCTCCTCATCCTTGTTTTTGAAAATAGCCTTAGAGAGTAGTGCTCTATCTAATCATGCTCTTTGTAACAAATACAACTTTAGTATTGAGGGATTTATCATGAAAGCTTTAGTCTTTTTCTTTAGTTTTTATAATTTCAAAAATTTATATTTTAATTTGGAATCATTCTGCAGAGCTTGTTCTACCAGAAATATCTGGAATTACTGAAAACAGGCGAAAAGTAAGTTGAAGTTATTCTTAATTTTGCTTCTGCTTTCTCATAATGATTTCAATTTATGACATGCTAAATTGAATTATGTTTCTAATTTCAAAACCAGAAGCGACCTGGAGCAGGTTAAGATAATTTTCACATGTTATCATTGTAAGAATTGTCTAAATTACAAACGATTCTCCTTCAACTAATACTTCATGCTCTAACTTTAATTTAAGGGAATTGGAGAAACGGTATCCGCCGAGATACTTGCTGTTGAACATAGAAGCTCATTGGAATCTGTAAGTGCTGCCTTAACTTGGTTGATTAGGGGCTAAATGCAACAACTTATTTTCAAATGTTTTTGTATTACAGCATCCTACTTCCGTTACTTTCTATTATATTATTGCGACTTAAATTTTTTCTAATCAAGGAATTCTGTAGCATTATATTTTCAAATTATTATATTATTTTTTTTCTTATTAGGACAAATATACTTTGAAAAGTCTATCCAATTATAGTAGTGTAAATCTGTTTTTTTATCTGGATGATTCGGTACATATTTCAAAGTATGGGTTTTCATGCATTTAACCCTTGTAATAATATATCAAATATCAATCAATTTTATACTATTTTATATTACTTGTGCGCAGTTGAAGGATTTGGGGACGTAAGCCGACATTAAAGTTTGAAAGGTAGTACCATGTGCTCTACAATTTTAAAGTTGATCATTTTTAATCTAATTGAGAGATTTGTTTATATTTTTTTCAGTTGAACAAGATCATTTCACAATCAATTATAGAAATTTGTCAGCAGATAGCGGGCAAGGGTAATACATCCATGGAAACAATTGTACAGATAGATAGTGATTTAAGCTGCCATTACAGTTGAGGAATAAAATATTGGCTCTTCAATTTGGTTTATTCACCAAATTAATCTTCGAAGTAGAGGTTAATAACTACGTTGAATTTTGAGATCACTTCTAAAAGATGTGTATTCCATCATTTCTCCAAACATGGTGGACAAACGGAAAAAGATGAGGAAAAAATTGAGCTCTCTAAGGAGGTTAAGGATGTTCCAGTTACAGCTACAAGGTCTAGAGGACAAAATTTAAACACTTAGAGCTACAAGGTCTAGAGGACAAACTTTAAACACTGATAGTGTGGTTGCTAATCCTCCAGCTGAAAAGAAAAGAACTAGAAGGGATGATAGTGAGGTTGCTAATTCTCCAATAGAGAAGAAAAGAACTAGAAGGGACACCATTGTTGCTGATCTGAGCCATAACACAAGCAAGGAAGATAAAGGTGAGAAATTGGGGCGTGGGAGATCAAAGAACATAAGTGAAGAGAGAATTGTTGAAGTTCCTGAAACTCAAAATAATGCTGACAAGGGCACAAGGCAATCAAGGAGAAACAAGGCAACAGTTGAAGTGCCTACAGTTATGAATCAAAATGTGAGCAAAGTGGAATCTGTTAATGAAAAGAAAGTTACAAGGTCCAAGGCTCCTCTTGCAAAGAAATCTTATGGAAGCAAAGCTGAGGTTCAACAGCTTGAGGAACCATCAGAGCCTGCACGTAGAAGAAATGTAAACTGAAGAAAATCTGTCATGTAGCCTAAAGCAACTGAAGTGGTTCTTCTCCTTGAATAACCTCTGAACATTCCTAAAAAGGGCACAAAGCGAAAATCTGTTGTGCAAAAAGCTCAGGGAAAAGGAAGCAAGAAACCGTCTGTTGGAAAGAAAGAAATAGTAAAGGAAACCGAGAAGCCTGAATCTCCTATTCGTAAGACTGTTGTGAAAAAGCAATCAAAAGATGCTTCTGAAAAAAAAAAAAAAGCAGCTGCTAGTGGTTCTGGGAGAAAAAATTCTAGGAAACGAAGTGGAGATCCTATTATTGAAGATCAGATTATTAAGCTTGAGCCTGTTTCTACACATAAAGACTCTGTTGCAAAAAAAAGAGCAAGAGTGTTGTAAAGACATCTGCATCTAAAAAAGTTGCAATGAGCGAAGATAATAGGTCTAAAAAGAAGGCAAAATTGAGTGAAATAAAACAAAGCGATTCAGAGGACCATGTTGAATAATCCATTTCAATGGAGACACCGATTCTAAAGATGGCGAATCTTGGATTAGATGATAAAGTTATAGAGACTGAGCAAGCATCTGCCATTGTTGAATCTGGTAGACGGTTTACACGTGGTGTAATAAGAAGTGATAGAAAGGAACCAAGTCAGTGAGCCATTAAAGAACAAAATATTGGAGTTGCTCGTTTCTCTTCGCGTAAAACTCCAGGTTGATTTACACACAGTGGAATCAAGGTTGATGAAAAGGAGCAGCCAAGTGAGTCAGCTCATCAAAGTCTAACTTTTGATTATGCTCCAAATGCCTCACCTGAAGATGCAGTAGTCGAGCCTAGTCCAGATGAGTCTATAGCAGTTCCAACCAAAGTTTCTAAAGAAGCTCATGCTCAGATAGTAGAAGAATCGGGAGATTTATCAGCATTAGAATCGTTGGGTTGCCAACCATTGATGCACTTTTAGATGGATCTCATGTACATAATCAGAATCAGGAAGTTCATGTCAGTTCAGAGATAGTTATGGAAGCTGAAGTTCAGGTAGCAGTAAAATCAGAAAAATCTGTGGTTCCAGAGGTTGCTGAAAAGAAAACGGAATTGACAAAATTAGAATCAACATCAGAGGGGCTGGAAAACAATGTGAGGGTTGAGGAATCATCTGTTTCTGCTGTGAAGACTGTTGAAGTACAAGAGAGTGTTAATATTTCCCTAGAACAGTCGGACTTTAATGGTAAATAAATACTTTTGGCTTTACTTGTATTATTAGTCTCTAAGGTGAGTGATTTGAGTATAATTTTATTTTATTAACTTGCAGGCAATTCAAAAGAGATTGAAGCTTTGGTAGAGCCATCAATGGTCGAAGGTGTGAATCAGGTTATTGCAGATGATCAAGCTTGTGCTAAAATAGATGATGATGGCCCTGATAATGAAGAAGATGAGAAAGCTAGCAATCAGAAACATGAAGATGTTGAAAATACAGTTGATGCTCAGGAGATGGATCTTGCAGTGGAAGGAGATAGTCTTGAACCTAACAGAGATGTTATTCAGGAGTCAACATTAGGTGATGATAAGCTTCAGGGTCTTGGCATGGATGAAAATGATCCTAAAGATGAAAAAGTTACTGTTCCTCACACAGTAAGCCTGAAAAGGAGTTTGATATAGTTACGAGCCTACAACTGTTACAGAAACTTTAACTGCACACATTGAGCCTGCAAAGGAACTGGAGTCTGATATAGTGTTGTCTACTGGTAATGATGTTCATGAGATCCCTATTTTGGGCAAATCTGATGATGAAGATGAAGGTGTTGATAATGTCAGGAAACTTGAATCAAACACAAATGACCAGGATGGAGAATCTGAACAGGAACAAAAACAAGTCAACAAGCGTAAAGTGATCAATGAATACACCTGCTACAACTCGAGTCAGTCATGGCAAACATCTTCAGGAGAATACAATCAGATTTGCCTTTCCTGATGACCTTCAGGAGAAAAAGTAGGATGCTATATAATAAATAATTCAATGGTAGTAATAGTAATATAGTATATTGCTTTATATAAAATACCATCTGCTAAGCTACATTTGATTTTGAGCGTAGGGATAAGAGAAATGTAACAGTAAGGTTACAAAGGAGCAAAGACTCAATTGTCTAACAAGTGACCCGAGCTGCTGAGCATATAGCAAGGTCTTTGGTAAAAAGAATGTTTATGTTACATTTAGATAAAAGGGATTTGTGTGTAGTCGAAATGTTATTTTTATATTTGATTACCTCGTACTCTGGAAAGAAAAACTTAGACTAGTTACTTGTGATGTAGTATTTTGTTTAAGTTTCTATAACATTGCTTGACCACCTTACTTGTAATTTTGAGTAGAGGACCTCGCAAAGCTCTTAGATTACTTGTTTTGGGTCTTATTATCTCTTAAACAAATATCTTACTTGTACCACTTGGATGGGTGGGTTTGTAGTAAGGACAACATTTAATAATTATTTAATTAAATTTACTTAAAGAAGCTAGGTACCGTTTAGTCATTTTATATGGTTAGAGACAATCTATTTTACAAAATAGAACCCGAGGCTCTCATAGTTAGAAAAAGGTGGGCTTGACGTGAAATAATCATACAAATATAAAGACTATTTATGTAATTTACTTTAAAGTTTATAGCTTTTGTATGAAATAGTCAACTATTGGTTCTTCCTTGTTTTGTTTTATGTATGTGTATTTAAAAAGAGATATAAATACATGCTTTAAAAAAAAACTTTTTTAATGTAATTCTCCAAATAAAATTAATCTTAAGGGAAGAATTAAAACTAATCTTGTTAAATAAATAATTTCTAAAATAATGTTTATAGAAAATGTGAAAAAGACCGAGGAATATTGTTAAATTTTTTTGGACCAAAATGATAATGAAGATTAAAACACGAACCAAATAAGTACAAAACATTGAGAAGGGTGGATTTTAGGTGGACTTTTATCAGTGTTTGGAAGAAACAGATGACTCGAGTTTAAGAAAAAATGACACGAAAATAAGCTTTATTTTATTATATGATTTGACAATTAACCTAATGATGACGATAATAGTATTGTTTGTTATCATATAAAAATTTTATGATTTTTCTAATTCAGAACAATAAATTTCCATGTGAGGAGATAGACGGTAAAAAGAATGCAATATAAGCAACAAATGGAGCGGAAGTCAAAGGATAAACGACTTAGTTTATGTATGAAAACCTCTCCATAGGCATCAAACTGCTCTATAGACGTACCATGTTGAACAACATCTACTCAACATGATCTCAATCAAACCTAATCGCACAAAGAAAGTCATAATATAGTTTTGTGACAAACTCGAATGATCTAAATTAAAACTTGAATCAAGTATGTAGAAAAAAAACCAGGATGTGTGGATTTTTGTTGGGTTTGGGGAGACTCTTATTAGTATCTAGGTGGAATTGAATCATAGATGACCAGAGTTTTAAAAAATGATATAAGTAAATCAACTTTATTTTAATATATGATCGGGCAATAAACCTAACCATGGCGACGAACAAATAATAATATTGTTTTTTATCATGATTTCATATATAAAGTTTATGCTTTTTCTAATTTAGAACAATAAATTTCCATGTGAGGAGATAGACGATCAAAAATGTGTAATAAGCAACGTACGGAATGGAAGTAAAAGGATAAACAATTGAATTTATGTATGAAAAGCTCTCCATAGGCTTCAGACTACACTATTAACCGTACCATATTGGACAATACTTTTTTTTGAACGACAAATCTAATCTACTTCTTAATTCCACTTATGTCCACGACTTGAACCCTCAACCTCAAGGAGGGAAGGTAACATCTGATACCGCTAGGCTAGAAGCCCTTTAGTTGTTGGACAATACATACTCAACAAGATCTCAATCACACTAAAGAAAGTTATGATTCGGTTTTGTAACAAACGAGTATAACTGACTTTTGGTCTAGACTTCTATTACACAACCGAAAATACGATTAAATATCAATCTTATAAAAAATCACATCTTTCTATTTTTAACGGGAGGGGATAAAATGTAATCGTTCGGTAAAACAGATGAAATAATAAAATTATAATTTTGCAACCAAAAGACACTAAAATAACGGTATGATGAATTGTTTTCTTTCAACAAAATATATCACAACCTATCATTTACATATACAACTAAGAATAGAATCCGTTGTCACGTTAAAACTACTCTCATTCACAACCAAAACCAACCCACTATCCATTAATTTTTTTTTCCTCTCTTCCACATACACAACCCAACTAAACTTAAATTTTTACACCCATTAGCAACCCAACCCAAACTAAACATCTATATTATTTATAATTAAGTTATTATATTATACAAACTACATATTATGTTTTTTTTTTCAATTTACAACTCATTTTCTTTACTATTTTTAAGATTATATAGACAATATAAAAAAATTCTTAAAAAAAATTCTTAAAATATATCAAAATTGGTCTATATTTGTAGACAAAATTATTTTATGTATTTTAGTGTATTTTGTTTATTTTTTTTAATGAAAATAAAACAAAATTAATTACAAAATGATGTTTATCTAAAAAGAGTTATAAACAAAAAATAAAAGAAAAGGGGCGACTAAAGGTTTGGTGGAGTAAACATGTCATGGGTTTCGAAGACATTCTCCATTTCTTTTAATTCAAGTGTGGCAACCGACTAAAGATTTAGTTGCCAATGGGGTCACTCTAACAAATATAGACTTTCTTTTCGGTCCGTACGAGATTTTGATCAAAATGTTAAACTCTCATAATAATTATTTATTAGATAATATATTTTATCCACCATTTACATGTACAACCAAAAATAGACTGGTTATTAGCAACTGATCATAATTTATTTTTTTCTTTAAAAGCATATTTATCTATTATTTAGATATATAATCAACCAAATTCATTTTTTTTTACTATTTGTCAAGAACCTATCACAACTATTGGTTGTTCTCCTTTGTTTTGTTTTATGTGTATTTAAAAAGAGATAAAAACAAAGATATAAATTTTTTTTCAAATTTTTTTTATGTAATTTTCCAAATAAAATTAATTTTAAAGGAATAATTATAAGCAATTTTGTTAAATAAATAATCTCTTGGATGGGGTGGGGTGGTAGTAGGGACAACATTTAACTATTGTTTAATTAAATTTACTTAAAGAAGCTAAGTACCTTTTAATCATTTTATATGGTTAGAGACAATCTATTTTACAAAATAGAACCCGAGCTTGTCATAGTTAAAAAAAGTAGGCTTGAAGTGAAATAATCATACAAAGACCATTTATGTAATTTACTTTAAAGTTTATAACTTTTGTATGGTTCTCCCTTGCTTTGTTTTATGTGTATTTAAAAAGAGATAAAAATGAAGATATAAAATATTTGTTTTTTTTTGTTTGTTTGTTTTTTTAATGTAATTTTCCAAATAAAATTAATTTTAAAGGAAGAATTATAAGTAATTTTGTTAAATAAATAATCTCTAAAAAAATGTATATAGAAGATGTGAAAACGACTAAGGAATATTTTTAGTTGTTTTGGACCAAAATGGTAATGAAGATTAAAAGATGAACCTAATAAGTACAAAAAATTGAGAAGGGTGGATTTTTGTTGGATTTAGATAGACTTTTATTAGTATTTGGATAGGACAGGTGACTCGAGTTTAAAAAAAAGGACATACACAAATCAACTTTTATTTTATTTTATGATAGGGTAATAAACCTAACAATGACATTAATAGTATTGTTTATTATCATTATTATATGATCGGACAATAAACCTAACAATGATGATAATGTATTGTTTATTATCATGATTTCATATATAAAATTTATGTTTTTTTTTTAATTCAGAACAATAAATTTCCATGTGAAAAGATAAACGGTTAGAAGTATGCAATATAAGTAACAAATGGAGCAAAAGTCAAAGGATAAACAACTGAATTTATGTATGAAAACCTGTAACACCCGGAAATTTGAGAAGCAACTTTGAGTATAATTCCCTTTTGAGAATTTGACATGGTGTGTTGGAGGCACCAACACGGCGTGTCTAGATAAGGAAGAGGCGCAGGTTTCATTTAGGCAACATGTCGTGTTCCTTTTGGAACACGGCGTGTTGATAGCTGGGAATGAAACCCTAATTTTTCTGGGTTTTGCCCCCTATTTAAAGGAAAGTGGAGGCTAGGGTTTGTTCACCCTCAGCCCCCATCAACCCCTAAGACCCTAAGAAAACCCTAATCATCCTTCTCTCCCATTTTGAAGCTAGTTTGGTGTTTTTTGAGGAAGAAGGAAGTAAAGATCCAGCAAGGAAGTCACACCCTTCAGTTTGGCACTCTTCTGGACCTTTTTAAGTTTCCAAGATCCGATTTTTATCATTCATGGTTGCTAGATCTTGAGTTTTGTCCCTTGTTCTTCTTTTTTTGGATGTTGGAATGGGAAGATCTCATAAAGTTTGCAACTTTATGAATCTCCAAGTCAAGGTGACCTAGTAGTGCCTTGGATCTGATCTATAATCGAGTTACGACGCCATGCTTAGAAGTTAGGTCATAAACCCTCATTTTGACCTAATATGGGTTCAAGACATACATTGGACATGTATGTCTAAAAAGCACCAACCTTTGGGATGGTTTAGGTGTTTAAATCACTTCTGGAAAGGATGAACTTCAAACCTTAAGGATTTAGTGCATTTTGGGTTAAGCCTTGCATCATCAAGCTTATGATTTGAGTTTTTGAACCTATTTGGTGGTCCTAATGGATAAAGTTGGAAACTTTATCCTTCTTAATCACATTTTGGTCTAGATCTGCGCTTTGGAGCTCTTGGAGTCGAAGAAAGCAGCTTAATGTATTAAGTTGTTGGAACTCGGGAAAACACGATGTGTTTGCACGTCAACACGACGTGTTGGCTGGGGTTTTCCCGACTATTTGGATGTTGGTGGAACACTGCGTGTTGTCAAGTCAACACGGTGTGTTTGGTCAACATGGATTGTTGACCTTGACTTCGACTTTGGAATTTGACCAAGTTTGACCTAAAGGGTATTTTGGGTACTTGGGTATTTTGGGATTTTGATGGATTTGGTCACTTGGATGGATAGGTGTTGGCTGGAGCTGAGATTCGGAGTCGGGAACTCATCAACTATGGATCAGATTGAGAGGTGTGTTTTCCTCACTGTACTTGCGGGTTGAAGGCACCAATATCGGCCCATTGGATTGATATCATGTTATGCATGTCATTGTGTTGTAGTGATCTGTTAGATCGGTATCCTAGTATATAGGATGATGCTATGCTTAGTGATCGGTAGATCTGTTTGACTGGATATA